ATTAACTTGTGATTTGAGATCAACGACATGGATACGAGATGATTAAAATAAATGTGTAATCATATGGCCTCGCAATCGTTTTAGTGATTTTGTCATACTTTCCGTTAAAATTCAGATTGAGTCGTGGAGAACAGGGCAAATCTGGCCGGGATTTTCAAGGATTACTGTGGGACCGAACGCATAGCATAGATGCGTATGAGCACTGTGGATATTCATATTTACTTTACCATTTTGATCAGCTATTGTTTCATCGTCGAGCTTCTTCTCACCACTGATGCAACTGGCAATTTCTCTATTCTTCTCTATTTTGGACCCTTCTTACTGGGATCCATAATGCGTGTATTGTTAGATGAAAAGTCCCCAAAAAGCAATTTAAGAAGATAAAAATTAGCGCGAAATTTATTAAGAACTAACATCCAAGGTATTAAGTAACGATGAATACGGCTGTTGCTGCAGTAGAGAGGCAGCCGCAGCAGCTGCTGAACTGGCAACCAGAGCCGGATTGAACGAAGGCTTCGGCCGATACGGTAATGTGGTACCTTTTGCTGGCGCCTAAATAATTTTCAGTTGATAGTTCTATTAGGCATGTTACCAAAATAGACTGATGCAAATCCATTATCAGGATCAGTGGGACAATACGGTAGCGCTTTTTTTCAGTGATTTGTTAAATGTTCACTCGAAAAAAAGCAAAAAAAGTGGAATAAGAAAAAAACTGAAATAAAGGAAAACTACAAAAAGCGAGTTTTTTTAATTATTAGAACTTTAGTTACTAACACATAATTAATCTTGTGCAGGTGCAAACTGCAAAAAATGTCTTCTCGCATAAAAATTTTATGAATATTTCATGACAACTTTCCTCATTTTCCTCTTCCTCCTCCCTCATTCACTTATGAAACGAATTTCGAATTCAGTAGGCCAGTTTTGTTTCGAGAATCTGTGCCAATCGGCCATCCAGGAAAACGCTATTTTCTGATAGACTAATTTTGGTGGGAGGATTTGCGACAATTTAGCACCGCGGGGAACCAATTCTAAGAATCCCAAAGAACATATGTAAAAAGCATAATACATTGCAAAAAACTGGTTTTACTGCCGATTTCTTTTCCGGGACATCAAATTGGCGCAAATCCTCATTTAGACCAATCCAATAAATTTTGATGTCCACTCCAGAAGTATCCGATTTCAAAGAATTGAATTTTTCAGTCAATTCAAATACCATTTTAATTTTAGAGCTGTGTGAGCCTTCCCAAAACGAAGTTTCAGACGAGCAGGAGGTAGCAGTACTCAAAGTTGAAAGGCAAAACCCACTCCGCATCCACTGTCTGTGAGATGTGGGAAGTAGCCCGAGTGTTCGCATGTGTCAGCAGCAACGTGCATGAAAAGCTATTTCAGGATGTTACTTAAAAGTACGACGATGCTAATGTCACTATTAGCAGGATGACCTCAGGCGATACAGCACTGGTCAAAGCAGCTGGTGATTTTTTCTTATTTAGCTGCAAAACCAGACTACTAAGCACCTGCTCATCAGAATCAAAGCAAATACTTTTTTTAATCATTTTTCTGTCAGTTTTGAATTGCAAACGTCAAGTGGTCAA